CTCAATAATTCAGACACAAACACATAATCATGTGTAAAGTGACTTACATTTATTGGACAGCAGAGCGTCAAATGAATCTGCCCATCTGGTCACTTCATCAGTGGATAACCTAAGAAAGCCAAACATGATCAGCTACAGTTATAATACAGCCAATAAACACATATCCTTACTTTTTTACAAAAACAACATATTACTCACTTCAAGTATCTTGTGGATCTCTCCTGAGCAGGAGGCAGGAATTCTGAAAAATCGCTGCATGAGTCTGATTTGTTAGACAGGCACCCTAGTCTAGTTTTCATGGCCCTGACAAAAAGGAAAGAAAAACAAAGACAAAAGCAATCTTAAAACAACAAGAGATTAGCAGCTGTCAATGACATTAGTGTGCTCATAAGAGACCGGCGATGAGTTATTTTTAGAACGTACCAGATTACTGATAATAATAACAGCTCAGGTGTGCATAATAGCCTGTTTGATTAGATTGTAGTGATGCTCGCAGACGTTACCATGAGCCTGCATTATACAACACACCATTGCAATGTTCAGTAATTATCTAGAGATGTGGATTCACCATATTGTAAACATGAATATTCCTTCAAAATGTGAATCATTGAAATGCAGCAGCGCACCTGGCCCTCAAATAAGGCATTATCATGGATTCTGCTTGTATATTTGCATCACAGAAGAATCAATCAGGACCGAGAGACAGAGAGCGACAGACAGCGAGAGAAAGAGAGATACATAGATGACAAGATAAATGGATACTCACTGAATGTCCTTGCAATGCCGTTTCGTCCAGTCAGTTGTACTGTAGGACCAAGTGAAGAGCTGATTTGCCTGTGAAAATGAAAAAGATTTACACGTATATATACCACTCCTCAGTGAGCATATTTTGTTAATCACTATTCCCAGGGTTCACAATTACTAGCATGCCAGATGCCACTTTTTCCCTTGATGCAATATAAACCATTTGGACCAACATAAGACTCACGTTATTTTGCTTGTTATTGCACTTGCAGTTCCGGGCACGTTCAGTTCTTCTAAAGGAACATTTCCCTCCAAATAACATCACTCTCTTACCATTTCAACCTATGAGGCTGATGCAACCTATTGCTTTCACATTAAGTTTTTTTTTAATGGGGAACACTGCATGAAAATGAACATTTCTTTTTCTGAAGGATCATAAATTGCTTCACAGACACTAATAGGCATGAGTAATGCATGAGTTATGTATAAAAAACAGGACTTTGTGCTATTGTAGACTTTGATGGGAATCAGAAAAGCTTAGTCTACCACGGATATTAAAGAGAAGGTATATTCCAATTTAATCTGCACACTTGCTTATTAAAGTCAGCTTTGGTATTGAAGTTCTTGTCATAAAAGGTGGTTTGATAATATGACTAAAGCTCTCAGAATAGTTAAGAAGGGGTCAATTTTCCAAAAATAAATAAAAATTGTTTTAAATCTGAGGTTAAACGAGTATTTTATGTTATTTAGAAGCTGCATGTTGCTAATAGGATTCACTAAAATAGAGCAAATGCATTTTAAGCGCATCATGCCATTTCTAGTGAGGCCTCGCAGAAATTATGAAACATATTCTAATTGCAGTGTGTCTAAACAATCCGAATTCTCTCAAAATGGGAATATTTTAGTGATGCACTGGATGCTTGAGGCTTATTCTTCATTTCCTTGCACTGGATGAGAACACGTGCCATGCTATTTATAAAATGCACTGACAAATCTATCTAGGCAGGGAGAAGCCAGTTCATGTTCTATGCAGCCATGCAGCACAAATGGAGCTACAGGGAGTTTGCTAACTAAAAGATACTCTGATGATGTCTCATCCTTATAAAATCTTCAAGAGATGCCGAGTGAAATAAAAACATGGCTAACTTTCTCCTTCCCTTTTTGTGAGGGTTTGCCAATTTAATATTCTCAATTTGTCTTTGATGTTGGGATCTGAGTTTCTGTGCTCGGAGTAATTTCATGGTTGTGGGTCCTGTCTCAGATTTAAATAGGATGCTAATGGCCTGGAATGAAACTCCCAAATGCTGAATTTTAGTTTGTTTAGTTAATATACACTGCTGGAAATACAGTTCATAGCAGGACAGCATAATCACAATGTTAAACGAAAATTATAAATAAAATAAAATAGAATAAAATAAAATAATCTAACATCTGAATACTACAGTACATTGCATTATATGGTTTTGGATAGGGATTTTATAGAAAAGTTTGTTTCAATCTTATGCACATCTACTGTTAAAATATACAGGATAACATAAAATAAATAAAAAAATATAAAATAAAATAGAATAAAATAAAATAATCTAACATCTGAATACTACAGTACATTGCACTATATGGTTTTGGATAGGGATTTTATAGAAAAGTTTGTTTCAATCTTATGCACATCTACTGTTAAAATATAGTGCCAGGATAACATAGGATAACAAAGGCCACAAAAAAACAAACAAAATAAAACCAAGATATTTTCATTTCATTCAAAAATTCCAGACTTGAGTTCAGCTGGTCAGAATAACTCTGCTAGATGCTAGAGTTATTTTAAAGTCTGGAGGTCAGCTGAGGCGGCTCAGGTAATGGTCATAACTGGGAAATGCTGAGCTGGATGGCAAAGCTTCTGTCATTCACATGCGGATGGATGGAACTACAGCAACTCCTTCAGAAACAACAGCAGAGGAGAAAAAAAGCAAAAAAGATGGAGAGAAAAAGCTTGCCAGGGACAACTTCCTGCAAGCTTTTCACAGCCTTGATGTGTTTGTGAATGGTAGGGGTGTTGTTCCAAAGCCCAGAATAAACCGAACAGCACAGAAAACATATTTCAGGAAAGGGAGAGATGTAAGTGTGTGAAGAGAGAGAGAGAGTGACTGGCAATAATGAAAAGGAGAAAAAGAGAGCCAGGGGACATGAAAAAACAAACAGTTTGCAGGATAGTATAAATTTACATACGTGTTTATGATCCTTAATGTAACCCCTAAAATATCATAGGCAGCGCTTTTTCATCATCACTGTCTGCTATATAGATTTCATTTATAAATGTCACCTTTCTAAACATAGTGATTACTCATGGATCAGCTCTCCCGGCCACGTACTGGCGACCTTTACGGTTATTTCAAGGGAAATGAAAATATTTTTTAAAAAGCAACTCATATAAACATCAGCCAGAACGAACGTGAAGACATTTCTCAATTGGGTTAGAGTAAGCAAGCTCAGGCCATGACTGCGTATGCATATCAATAACATTTACAGGATGTGGTATTTATATTTGCATGCAAATCTATCTGTCTGTCTGTCCATCCATCTATATGGCCATCCATCCATCAATCCATCGTCCCATCTTTCTAGCCTTCTGTTCATCCATCCGTCGCCCCATCTATCTATCCATCCATGCATCCATCTATCGTCCCCTCTATCTATGCCTCCATCCATGCATCCATCCATTTTATCTACCCATCTGTCCATCCATCCATCTTTCTATCCGTCCTAGCATCCATCATCCCCTTCTATCATCTGTCCTTCTATCCATCCATCTGTTTCTATTTATCCATGCATCCATCATCCCATCTCTGTCCTTACATCCATCATCCATCTATCATATATCTATGCATCTATCCATCCATGCATCCATCTATCGTCCCCTCTATCTATCCTGCTTCCATCCGTCCATGCATCCATTCATCTATCCATCCACTATCGTTCCATCCATCCAGCTATGCTTCTATCCATCCATGCATCCATCGTCCCATCTATCTATCTATCCTTCCATCCATCCACCCATCCATGCATCCAGCCATCAATCTATGCATCTATCCACCCATCCATCCATCCATCCATCCATCCATCAGGGATATGCAATATCTTATCGTTTGCGATAAGAGATAGTAGATAGTAGAAATTCTCCCCACGATAACAACGATAAAGCATAGCTGTTGACATATTTCTGTGTGCGACCATGCGGAGTGAAATGGCAGAAGGTGGACATGAAACGTAGGAGTTTATCGCTAAACGAGGAGCTACCTCTACAATCTGGAACTGGTTTGGTCAGGGATGTGAAAAATAAATAAATAAATAAAATCGGTCTGTTGCAATGAATACATTTACTAGTAGCACACGTGTGATACAGCTATGTATGTGTATGAGCCTGTTTACAAACCTGTTGTCCAACAAAAAAAAGTTTTTACACCAAATTCACTTCATAACATCAGTCAAGTGTTTGAAATAACTTCTTTTTGTGACCAGACGTGGTTTCATATCACAGAATAAGGCGATAATCATACTATTTTATAGTATTATATACAGTGATAAAGGCTATGTCGAATGGCATTGCATTATAAATATACTTTATTCTTTTAAAAATACCAGAGATGGCTTGAAGAACAGATAAACCATATATGCTGCAATCGTATGTTTATTGTCTTCAAATTTCATCAGTTAAAAAATCTAGTTAGTCATCATAAATTATATTACTTCTGTGACTGCACAAGGGCGCCCTAAGTCTACGAGTATGAATTAAACAGACATTACATTACATGCGTGTACTCATTAATGTTCATAACACTACATTAATTTTGGGTAAAAATAGGGGGAAAAAAATACTTCTCTCTAAAGAAGTTTGAAGTAAACGTATGAAAATCCATATGTTCTTCTCCAGTGTAGAGAAGTTTTTATTCTTTTTTTTTTTTTTTTAATTAAGAATTACTATCACAGATTCGTATCATAATGTAATATTTTATTTAAAAAATTCTAATGATTTATAGTTATAGGCCCCCTGCAGTTTTCTGTAAAATAAATGTTTTATGTAAAATATAATATAGCCTAATAATAATAATAATAATTATTATTACTTTATTATAAACACTTCCAATTTGTTCCACCATCTTAAACCAGAGTATGAAAAAAGTCTGAAGATGATCGAGGAGACACCAACATCAAAGCCCTAGGGTTTCATTCTTTTATGTAATTGGTATATTTTAGGAGCCTAATTTATGATGCATGCAGCTATCACTTGTAGCCAAAAACTGTGGTAAATGGTACCATCATCATTTATATCGTTATAGCAATAAATACCAGAAAATATCGTGGTATATATCGTTTTAAATCCATATCGCCCATCCCTACCATCTATCTATCTGTACATGCATCCAATTATCCTTCCATCCATGCATATATCATTACATCCATACATCCTTCAATCCATCTATCCTTCCATCAATCCACCCACCTGTTTATCTATCCATCCACCTATCCATCCGTACATACATATATCTTTCCTGTCTGTGCACCTATCATCCATTCATTCAAACAAAACATCACATCAGTAGCTAAATAGTAAGTAGCTAAATAAAGGATAGAATAAAAAAAATATATAAAACCATGCTCCATCCATCAATTAAAAGAGAATATCTATATTTTCTATAAACAATTCAGTTACTCTAATTTATTTTCTTTAGCTATTTGGGATCTCAAAATAAGAAAGCTGCAAACACATCCCAGGAATTCACATATTCTTTTTGCCATTAAAGGTCCCATATTGTCAAAACTGAAATTTCCTGGCTTTTTTCACGATAACTGAGGTCTAGGGCTATTTAACTACCATACAAGTTTCAAAACAGTCAGTCCACAATAATATGCACACAGCCTGCATAAAGTAGCTGTGATTTTTCACGAACCGTTGTGACTTCCGTAAAAAGTTGACGTCAGAACTACACAGTCACCGACTTCAGTCACCACCCCGAGCACCGCCCACAGTCCCACTCTCTTTTTGCCAAACCCCCAGAAAACATTGCGTCCACGCCATTGCTGACTGAGCAACAACAACACGGAAACATGTCGAAAAGGTTAACTTTAACCACGAAACCAGATCGGCCGACATGTAACGTTACACTCTCACTCAAAGGA